GTGAAACATGCAATATGCTTATAAAAAACAACAATAATACCCAGAGTGACCATAGAATTTAACATTCCAACAAAATTACATCAACATAGCCTGCAATTGGAGCACCCATGTTCTGAGCTACTTCAGCAAGACAGGCAACCACCATGGTCCGGTCTTGTGCAGGTCGTGAAGCTTTCTGCAATTGATAACAAACAAAAATGAGACACTGAAAAACAGAAATGAACAGTAAATACCCAGCTAGTATCATTGCTTAACCCACCGCAAATTTCATCAAAGGTTCAAAAAAGTTTGCAAAGATAGGCGCAAAATGAGGACCCATGCACTTTGCAAATGCTGGTAGAAGGTCAGAAACTGCATCCATAAGCACTTCATCATGTTCAGAATCATCCTCATCGTCAATATCACTATCATTGTCCGACTGCTGACAAGCTGATTCCTCTCTAAGCAATGTCAATGTAGCATCAACAAGCTGAGACAAATCTGAAAAATCAGAATACGTCAGATGGCCGGACACAATCATCTACACTGAAACATTAATTTGAAGGAAGCCAACTAGATTACTTACAAGGCTCTACTGCTATGAAACCATAATCCTTGATGATGTCAACTATATTCATACAAGCTTGAGCTACAACTTCCTTGTCATCGTCATCAGTCATAGTCTTGATATGTATTTTCATTATTGTATCTGCAAAATAGAAGAACTCATTTGCATATTCCAAAATGTAAAATCCACCCAAGCCCTTGAAGTTGAACTGAAATAGTCAGTAGCTAGTTACCAAGAACTTCCTTTGCCTTCATTGATCCATCCTGCATAAGACAAAACATTAAGATTGCATTAGTGGTTTATAAGCCAACCATCCCTGTTTCTATGAAAACTATCTGAAAGCAAATGCATGCTTTTCTCTGTATGACAGAGGTACTAGTGCATGTGCACCCTATGAGTGCAGGTACATGAGCAAGTCACTTGCAAAACAAAAATAATAAACATATTAACCAGGTTATAAAATATCTACCATATAAATGGCAACCATTTTAGTTTAAAAGTTGAGCAACAGCACCCACAAAATAAATAAATAAATAAATAAATAAAAATAAAAAGAGGGAAGGAAGTGAAAGACAAAGTAAAAAAAATAACTTACATTCTGACACAGAAAGACTGCATGTGCTGCTGTCAAAGTATCTGCAATACAATCAATGAGCAAGAATTAACAAATATTTGCATTAAGTTGAAGTTATAAGGTAAAAAAGAGGTTATTTCTTATCAAACTAACTAATTCAAGCTCTATGATTTCCAATGCAATTGCATTAAGGTTGAATCTTGAAACAATCAAAAAACAAGAACAAATAAGGAGAAACTGAACAAAATATAGCTAATGGTAGCAACAAAATCTACCATCAAAACAGTATTTTTTGATGCTTCACACATATGAATCCTATTTTTCTTATCCTCATCTTTGAAGGCTTTCAGAAGTGTTCCTATAAAGGAGCCATGGTCAGATTTTGGCATCCATGAAATGCATAAAGATTGAGATCACACATTGGCTAGAGATATGGTTGATACATCCTGTCATAAGCTATAATTGTCTACTCACGCTTCAAAGCAATAATTGCCTGGAGCCGAACATCTTCATGAAAATATCCTGAATGTCTTGCCAAAAACTTCAAAGACTCCTCCAGATAGCTTATAATAATTAAAGAAGCCAAAAGAGAAGAAAAGGGAAACCTATTCAATTTTACATGTCTCAATATTAATCCAAGAGTGCAAAAAAGGGTCTCCAAACAGAAGAAAAGATTAGCCAAAATAGAAAAAAGAGAAAAAAAAAAAAATGCAAGGATACGGTCCATAAGAACTCTTGGTGTGCAATGCAAATAAGCCAAGAGCTTGAGTTGCAGCTGCTTTTTCATCCAACACTCCTGTTCTTATACTGATGTTTCGAACTCTTGGTTCATCATGAGCTTCATCGTCTGATGAGACTCCACCAAATCCGCCAGTATTCTCATCATCAGACTCATCAATGTTAAAAGCAGACCCATCATCAAGGTTGCAGGAAGAAAATGCCAGGGGTACAACATGTGGAAGATACTGCTCAAAAAATAAAACTAAAGTAAATATACGATTTAAGGAAACAACATGAGCTTAAATCCAACCTATGCTCACCTTTGTAAAACCATCATCCAAAATTTCTGCTACATTGCTGAAGAATCCATGAGTGTACTCCCGAAGCTCACTAAACTCCAACCCAAAACCCTGAAACAATAGCAAACAGAATTTAATTCTTTTAAGGTTCCTGTTCTGAAATCTAGACAGAGAGCTCCCAGTGTAATTACAGAAATTGCAGCTTCTATGAAAGGGGGTAAAATTGGCTCCATTCCTACTCTCCCAACAGACATCGCAACAATTCCAACAAGCTCAGTGGCTCTTGCCCGTAAACGAAGATCCTCATCCTTTGTAAGCACCATAAATGTCTTCATTAACTCCAGAATCTTTTCAGCATATGGAATGAAAGCTTGCTCAGCAGCAGCCGCAACCGAACCAATAGCAGACTGGAAATAACATTAACAGACAAACCTTAAGTTATGGGACTTAATCAAACTTATCAATCACATAACATGAACAAGTTGTATGAAGAATTAAACTACATAAGATCTATTTTCCCCACACCATGCATGTTTCTTGCAAATTACGGGGACTGTTTTGGAGGGCTGCCAGTAGCTTTCCCATCAGAGGATCAAGAAAAGGAAGGATTTCTGAACCCATGTCCTCACAAAATGCAGCCAAGGCATAGTACGACTTTTCCTGCACAGCAAGAAACAAATAATGCTCAATAAACTTAAATGAGAAAGAAAACCATAAACAATATCTTCTTCTTCTTTTTTTCCTAATTATACCTTCACTTCATCAGAAGCATCCTCAAGGGCATGGAGAATGCTAGGAAGAACACTTCCATAGTGAGATATGATATCAGGCTGCAGATGCTCTGCAAATTGACCCAATGCAAATGATGCAGCCCCTCTAACCATTTGCTCTGGATCCCGCAATGTCCCATGGACAATATCAAGAACAGACTTCAAGTTATCCTTCATCAACTCAGCACAACCCTCTGAAACAACACCAAGAGCTGTAACAGAGGCCTCCCTGAATTTTGGATTTGCATTTTGACTGCTTGACGAAGCAAACTCAAGAACAGGATGGAAGATATGCTTTGAGAGGTTCAAAGCCATTGTATCAATAACTTCAGCAGCAGCTCGATCAGGAGCAAGATCATCATCTTCATCTTCATTGGTTGATTCTGCAAGCAATGGACACATAACTTGCAGAATAGGGATGACCAACTTATACTTTTTTAGGGAATTAGCTTTGTACTTTGCCAGCCATGAAATAATCTGAATAGCCTGAAAAGTTAAACAGAAGATAAGAAGTTAGAAAAAGATTGAACATGTGTAGTCAAAAAATATAGATTATTACATTGAACGCAGCAATAGAAGCAGTAATCTCAAGACTTTGAGCTTCATTATAGAATTTTTAGCTAAAACTCTATTGTGATACATCAATACTTTTCAGTCTTATGATCATCAAGTTAAGGCGACTGACTTGGAATTGGCTAGGTTCATCTTGGGTCTATGGAAGTTAAGGAAAAACGGTCATATAACCAAATAACCATCTCTGTTTAACTATTTCAATCTTTTAGCCAGTCAATCCCCAGTATGCTCAAGAAACAACATGGAGCAAAAATCATAAGACCATCTGTTCTAACCTGATGGCGTGTGTTTGATTCCAAATTTTGACTTGAGCAAACTTCAAGAGAGAACTGCACAATGGATTTAACTGAATCCCCAAGAAGAGGTGCAGGGGACTCAATAAGTTCATCAAAAATTTCAAAAGCAAGTATGGCAACATCCTCCTCGCCTACTTGAAGACATTGTCTTGATACATTTAAAATGCTGGGTATGAACTCCCGAAACTTAACCTGCATGCATTTATGATTAAAGTTAGAGCTAAGGAAATAATAAAACATAAACATTATAGTGTCTGAAATAAGTCACAGGAACTGAAAATAAAGTTTCTATTGTTTCTTCAGCACAATAACACATTACAATATAACACATCCTTCTAAAACACTGCACTCCTGGGATAAAAGAGAAAATATACAAATCTGCTGCACCTCTAGAACAGGATTCAAAATTTTTCATGACACTATAACAGTGTAAGTTTAATGAGTCCAGCTTGAACACATCGTTTGTAGAAATATAATTTTATGGTTTCCAAAGACATCAGTCACCTCCAATAGAGAAGTCACAAATTAAGGGTGTGTTTGTGTGTAGTGTTGTGGCTGTGGCACGGTACCACCAAAAACTATGTTGAAAAGAATAGTGCATGGCTGTGTAGAAAAGAATTGTGAAAGCAGTCCCAAATGCATCCTATATCATATTCATGCATTCAAGAAGAAGCAAAGTATCAAAGCAGATGCAAGGTGTAGTTACAAGCATATAAACTCACCACTTCAGCACCATCATTTGTGAATTCAAGAAAAGACCCAACTGCCCTGAAAAAACACATACCAGGTTCCACAAAGCAAAACATATAAGATTGTATTCAAACATATAGAAGGAGCATCAGAATTATCAAATTGGAGAGAAAATTATTACTTGAGAGCAGCGACCCTAACACGGTTACTTGTCTCATCCTGTAGGCATTTCAGCAAAAGAGCTTGCAAATCCATGAAATGGGGTCGAAATGTGCTCCCAATTGTCTCAGTCAATGAACTGAATAGGATCAATGCCACCTTGAAAAGGTAAAACGCTTTGCACATTAGTCTGTAAAACTACTTGATTTAACTCCAATATCAACAATTATTGAAATGAACACAACCTGAGGCCCCAACATAAGGAGGACCGATATAAAAACAATGCAGAACATAAACATGCATTTAAATATGATAAGAAATGGTACGTTTGTTCTCAAAATTACATTTTCTAATAACTATGTGGCGTCTAAACTTACTTCTCTATGCTCCTCTTGTGCACTCTGACTACACTGGAAGAGAAAGGGCAGCAGATCAGGCCACTCTCCAGCAGGAACTGCATATTTCGCTATGATACTCACTACATTGGCACTGGCTCGCCTCACAGGTGGACTGTCAAAATAACACAGCTAAAATAAGCCAAACATGATTTCGAAGTAGTAAAAAAGCACTAAGGAGAGTAGGAGATTCGATAAACCTGTGCTCCATGGTGATACTCTCTAAGAGGGACTGCTTGACTAGCTGCTTGATGTGGGGAGACAGCTTGGTCCAGTGTCCGGTTATCTTCTTGCGGAGGAGTACGGCGGCCAGCTGGCGAACATTGGGGGTTTTGGCTGTACGGAGGTGCTGAACGAGAGCTGGCACCACCTGTGGATCCTTGGCCAGCCTCTTTATCTGCTCCTCAGCCTGTCTCCGCGCATCGTTGTCCGGCATCAAGAATTGGATCAACAGCAATTCAAGTGATTGCGCCATTCTTACAGTTAAGAAGGTGGCGCCGGCGGGAAACAGGCTTGGACTATGTGAATTCCGAGAGTCCTCGAAGAAATGAGGAGGATCGCCACGAATTGGAAGAAGAATGAAAACGTTAGAAAATCGGAAAGGAAAAACTTGAGGCGGCGGTGGCTGTTGCTGCTGCTGCTGCTGCTGCTGCTGCTCTAAAGGGTTTCTGCCTTTCCCTATGGGGTTTTGCTTTGTTTGGAAGATTTAAGAGCCAGAGTGGGGTATTTTTACATTCACACCGGTTTCTTTTCAATTTTTTAATTTAATTTAATTCAAATTAATTTTTTACAATATATTATGTTATGCCTATGACACAACATTTGTAAGTTTACTGCACTTATTATATAATAATATATTATTTTATAATTAATTTTTTATTTAAAATTTTATTTGTGTAAATGTTTATTTATTTAATAGTATTACATTATAATTATATTTAATATTATCTTATAGTTATAAAAGTAAAATGAAAACCAAAGTTTTTTAGAATTTAAAATGTTAGGAATTTTTGTAAAAATATTTAAATATTCTTATGTGATATTGTTTAATTAAGGTATTTAAATAATGTATTTTTTTATCATGTGCCTTTAGAAAACAAGATAATGATGTATTTATTGTAACTTTTTATCATAAAACTAAAAGTTAATATTAATTTTATTAATTATCCAATAAAAAGTATCTATGTATTGTAGATGTTAAAATTAATACTAATTTTTTTATTTTTTATATAAATTAATTCATGATTAATGATAAAAAAGTATAATAAATACACCTTTATCTTATGCCATAACAAAATTACTAAAAATGATTTTATCATTATTTATAACATCTAAATTACTGGAAATGAGTAATTTTTTACAATCTCATGAAAAAAATAACATATATATTCAATTTAACGTAATATCATAATGATTTATTTTCTATAAAAAAAAAATATATAATGATTTATTGTAACATACTTTGGACTTTGGAGAGGTAAAAGAAATTATTATTTTACAATTGGTTCTGTGTAAATGGCACTTCACTTTTTTTAAAAAATTAATTAATTCCTTTTTTTTATTAATTTAATTAACATCTAATTGTGAGAACAAAAAAAAAAAAAAAGAAGAAGAGAGAAGGAAGAAGAGGAAGAAGAAGAAGGAAAATGGGCTTTGAAATGTATTTTGGAGGTGTTTTGTGTTGTGCTAAATCATCAGGTGGCTTGATATTGGAGGCGTGATCTCAACGGTGTGTTTGGGATTTGGAGTTTTGTACAGGGGAAGGCTGAGCCAGGCAAGCAAGTAAGAAATGAAATTTCCAAACAGCATTTGACAGCATAGAGCTTAGTAGCTTACTGTCCATGGCCCAAATTCAATCAAGAATGCAAGCTCAGGTAACGTAATCAATGAGATCAATTTTGGGCCATAACAAAATTGGGGCCCAATAGACCAAACTGGTGTGGTGTGAACCCATCAACAGGCCCATAATCAATTTGCAACCCAGCTGAGTCGTTCGCAGATCCCACATTGCTTGATTTCAGAGAAGTCAAAGAATTTATATATTCTTATGAAGCACCCAAGGGCGTCCCTTCGGGGACATCCGATAAAATTGGAACGATACAGAGAAGATTAGCATGGCCCCTGCGCAAGGATGACACGCACAAATCGAGAAATGGTCCAAATTTTTTTTTTCCCTTGTTCAAGTTTCTATGAGTTCAATTGCCTACTTTCTGATGCATAGATATGTAATTTACGGGTTGAAGGGCAAGACCAATGTGCTGGGAAAAGTTGCTTGGAACTGCTTCTATAATGGACACAAAAAAGTTCTGCAATTTATAATTTCTACCTTGCATGAAGACGAGAAGAGCAGTTTTAGGTGAACAACATCTCACCAAATGTAACTGAAACGGTTTTGAGAAGTGAGAACAGCCTTGATCAGTTTGAAACTGTCAAAGGTGTTCAGTTCATTCCAAACTACATTGGACCAATACCAAACAAACCCCCCACAATGTGCTTTAGTAGAGATGAAGGAAACAAGGGAAGCTGAAGCAGTAACATGGATATATAAGTAATGACTACTGTTCATCCTAATAAAAGCTATATATATGAAGCACTTTTTCTTTTATCTTCAAAATTTACCAAAAAGTGCAGGCAAGTAAAGCAAGAGAAAGGATCTTTGAAGGAAGCAATTCAGTGTGGAAGATGGGTTATTGAGCTACCAAACCAAACAGTGAATCAAAAGTGATTACTGTTGTAACTGAAAA